AAATAGAGGCATAGAAATCTTTTCAGACGCTGATTGGGCAGGATCCTTGATTGATCGAAGGTCTACCTCTGGCTATTGTTCATATGTATGGGGAAATCTGGTCACCTGGAGAAGCAAGAAGCAGTCAGTTGTTGCTAGAAGTAGTGCTGAAGCAGAATTTAGATCAATGGCGCGCACGGAATTTGTGAAGGAATATGGCTAAAAAGACTTTTGGAAGAATTGAAGATACTATCTGATGATCCAATAAAAATAAAGTGTGATAATCAAGCTGCAATCCGCATTGCAAAGAATCCAGTTCACCATGATAGGACTAAGCATGTCGAAATTGACAGGCGCTTCATAAAAGAGAAGATTGATCAGGAAATCATCAAACTAGATTACACTCCGTCAAATCTTCAAATTGCAGATATACTCACCAAAGCTCTCAAGCGAGACCAATTTGAAATTCTTGTTTCCAAGCTGGGAATGATAAACATATATTGCGCAGCTTGAGGGGGAGTGTGGAATATTTTGGTAGACTATGATTAGTTTCCAAATAATGAGATTAGGATAATAAGCACCTCAATCTCCAAGATTTTTTCTATTTTCCTAATTGGTTAGTTTTCTATGTTTAGTCTTCCTTGATTTAAGGAGTTTGGTAAACCTAATTGATGGTTTCCCTTCCTATTTATTACTGTAATCTTTGCCTATTCCATAATAGAAAATAAGAAGAATTTTTCTCATATTTTTCTTCAGTATCCTAGCACATTATCACACTATTGCTAAACTCTCTTTTCCCCGGATTGTACTGCACACATGGGAGCAAGTTTCAGAAATGTTAAGTGCAAAATAGACATTCACTTTCCACAGGTTCCTCACAGATTATGACTTTTGCAAATCCCCATGAGCCAGTAAAAGATGCAATGCTTGTACATATGTATATATCCCTTAATTGTGTGAAGCAACTCCCATCAGATTGCACTTGCATTGACTCTAAACAAAGAACTATTTCCATATTGATAGCTAAAGGAGTTGCTTTACAGTGGCTTAACTTCAAAGATATTTGGCGCCATTGTCAAATGTTACCCCTTGGCTCCTGAAGAGCATTGGCTTGTTTGGAGGATCCAAGCCCAACAATCAAAGTACATCTCATGTCGAAGAAGTTCTGACACAAGGCACATTGTAAATTTATTACAACATGAACTGTCAGCGTAGATGGTTTTCCAACCATTACCTTATTCTCAAACCTACCTAGCTTTCAGTAATCTCCACTTGTTTATTCAGAAAAATCACATCAACGTCGATCAAGTAAATGAAAAACTGTGTATCACCAGTTGGAGGTTGGAAAATAAAAACAAACAGAAATAAAACATGAATGAGGTGAGAATACAAGCAGCCATACAGCAAAAATGACACAGAATATTGCCAAGTTTCCCATGTTGAACCCTGAAACTGGATGTTGAGAGAGGCTAAACAAGGGTACTGTTTTCTGCTCATCCAGCTCAATTATCTAAACGTCAAAGATCCCTAAGGCACATTGCACAGTTCATTATTCATTGTTTTTTAATCTTAATCTTACTGTGATGGAGGCAAAAAAATAAAAGAAAACATCTGAAATAGCACACTGGGAGCATACAAGCTACCACATTAGACAAACTCTAGGAAATGCAAACTTTCTCAAAAGATGTTGATTAAACAACTATGACGTGATTATGAACAGGAAAGAGCATATAACATAGGTCCCAACCTTCATCATAGATCAGGATTTAGCTTGTTGATTAACAATGTATGCAGAGGATTTTGCAGGTTTTAGGAACCAGAATTTTTCCATTTCCAGAAGTCATGGGAGCTCAAACTGTCCAGCTAAAATTTATCATCAGGCACAAAACCCCTTTGCAGCATTTCATCATGGATCTTAAAAGCTTCCGTCATGTTTTCCTGTGAGACATGACCATTTATTAATGATGTGAATGTAGATCTATCAGGACTTATGCCCCCCTCAGTCATCTTCTTGTATATCATATTGGCTCCTTGCATTTGACCTAGTCTACAGAACCCATCAAGAACAACATTATATGTAATAACATCAGGTAACAGACCTTCATTTTCCATTTGGTTTATCAAATCATAAGCTTTTTCCATGTTCTCCTCTTTTACAAATCCATGTATAATAGTGTTATAAGTAATAGAATCAGGAAGAACTCCTTTGGATTTCATCTTCTTCAGAAACTCATTTGCCTTTCTGAAATCACCATTCCTGCAATAGCCTTTTATAAGAGAGTTACAAGTCACGATAGTGGGCTGAATTCCTTTATCGACCATCTCATTCCACATCCTAAATGCATCAGATAGAAGACCATTACTACAGAATCCATTTATTAGAGCACTGTATGTAATACAGTTAGGATATATCATTTTCGAGATCATATAATCCCTCATTTCTATGGCTCTTTCCATTTCACCTGCTTTACAAAATCCATCAATCAAGGTATTGTATGTAACCACATCAGGCTTGAGATTTCTCTGAGACATAGCTCTGAACAAAGCTAATGCTTTACTCATATTCCCGACCTTGCAATATCCATTTATTAGAGTTGTATAGGTGCAGAAGTCAGGAAATACACCCCTTTCCACCATCTCATTGAATAGTACATCTGCCTCAGAAAGCATCTTTTCTTTGCACAGGCCATTTAAAATAGTATTGTAAGTCACCACATCCATGAGGCAACCGTTCTCCATCATTTCATCACGTATCTTCATAGCATCTGGTATGGCACCAATTCTACAAAAGCCACCAATAAGAATAGTATAAACAATATTGTCAGGTATCAGACCGTTCGACTTCATATCGTTAAAATAAGCCATTGCCCTATCAAGATTCCCAATTCTTGAAAATAACCCAATAAGCGAGCTATAGCTAACCAAATCTGGGACAACACCCCTATGCAGCATCTCATTAAAAGTACCCTCAGCTTCCACCACATCATCCTTCCTACAACACTCGTACAGCAATGTGTTATAAGTGGCCGTGTCAGGATTCAACCCAATCTGCACCATCTCGATTAAAACTTCTTTTGCTCTCCCATACTGTCCCTTTTTACACAAACCATTGACAACAGGATTGTAAGTCAGAAGACCAGGTTTCAGACCCTTATCTGCCATCAATTTCATCACCTCAAAACCTTCTTCCATGCGTCCGTCATGACAGTATGTGCTAATCAAAGTATTGTATGTCACTATATCTGCAAAAATCCCTCTTTCTTCCATTTCGGATAAAAAGTCAATTGCTTTCTCAATTTTCCCATCTTTACAAAATACATTTACCATTATATTAAGCGTATAAACGTTCAAATCTTTCCTAATGTGTACCACATCCATGTACACTTCTCTTGCCAAATCGACCCAACCAAATTTTACAAGTCCTCCAAGAATACTATTACATGCATTTATGGAAACACAGATATTCCTATATTTTAGCGAGCGCAATGCCTCCACAGCATCTCTTAACTTCCTAGCTTGTACATAAGTCCTGATAAACAAATCAAAAACATATAAACTTGACCCACAGTTATTATAACTCTCCACTAATGAATCCACAATCTCAGTTCTCGAAGCTCCACTCCTCCTAACCATCCTGAGAATCAAAGCCTGAGCATCGGATGTTCTTTTACTCCTAACTAATACATGTACCGCGGCGCTCAAAGACCGGGAAGAATGCTCAAAATTCGGGTAATTTAACGCAATAAAATCGATAAATCTCTGACCCATTTGCAAATCATTCCGACATTTATAAAGAACTTCCTTAAATATTGATGGGTTTAGCTGATAGAATATACGGGTGTCAATAGACTGACCTTTCTTTAGAGACCACAAAATCTTTTCGAGTAAAAATGAATCTGGAGTAAGGGTTTGGGTATAACCTCTGTGAATGGAATTAGTGTGTCCTGCTCTGAGGAGTCTCTTAGGATGCAGAAGTGGTCGTCTGCTCGACATTGCACGGTGGCCGTTGGTGTTGGTGTTGGAGTCGAACAGTTCGAGGGTCAACAAGAAAATAGAAAATAAGCCCCTTTTTGTTCCCTATTTTTTTTTTTTTTTGCGTTAAAATGAAAAATATGACCGTTATCCATCAGATTAAACTATTAAATTTGAATTTATATTTCTTGTGTGGGCTCATAATACCTATATTTTTTATTATCATTTTTACAAAAATGAAAAACAAAGTTACCTAAAGGATTTTGTAAAATTTTTCCAATTTGGTCAATTAACATTGTTGAATTTGCAAAGTATTCTAGATAAGTACCTATTTAAAAGTAGCCATTTTGCTAATTTTCACAAAAATGGTAATTTTCTTAACAGCACATGTTGCCTAACCATTCATTGGTATTTCACTTTTATTATTTATTATATATAGAAGTATCGATAACATAATTTGTGCAGCTCGCTCTTTAAATGAAATGACATTAACCACTTGAAAATGAAATAATTTTAACTCGTGATTTTGATTACATAAAACTTAATTAAACATTTAAGCTTATTTTGTTTTAACTCGTTCATGATCGATTTTTAGACTTTGGAGGTGTTAGACCAATTTCTCACTAGGCATTCTGCATACATTTTATAAGTTTATTAAAAATATTAATATTATGAAACCCTTACCTTTGAGGTATCTTGCGAAGCAACCCGTGCTATATATGGTTAGAGCCAACTCTGTACTCGTCAATTTCATGTCAAAGAAATTGTGAAGACAATGAAACATGTCCACAAAACCATTATGAACGACTCAACATTTAACATATTTGATTTATTTCATGTTAACAAAAATCGTGAAAATCAAGATACATGTCAATAAAACTATCAAGAGTAACTTAATTTAAATATGTTAAAAAATCAGTGACATAATTTTTAGGCAAAAAAAGTTCAATGACTATAGTAACACATTATAAATGTTTGATGAACCTTAAGAAAACAAAATATGACGTGTCACTTTCTTATTGGTCAAGTCGACCACACGGGACGTGTCCCTCCGTCGAGTAAAATCTCTTTTAAAGCCATCTTTCCTCGCGTGTGTTCACACACACTGAAGGTGTCTCCGATATGCGTGTATTAACTATTAACTGAAGATTAGTTCAGGGACGGAGAAAGACCAACACATCGCTCTCAAGGTTCCTCTTCCTTCCACATGTCATTACGCGCAGATCATTTTTTGTCTTTTTATTGGATTTTGTGGGAAGAACAAGGAAAAGGGTTGATTTGAGGCTTTTCAGTTATATGGGTTTTGATAATCAATAAATTCAAGGAAATGGGTATTCGATAAATTCGGAAAATTCTGATGTATGGGTCTTTGATTTCGTTATTTGATCCTGACTTGTACATTGCAGAAATTCGAAAACTTGACATCTTGCTTCTGTACAGATAAAGATTGAATTTTCCTCTGACAAGAATTATGTTCTATTTGTGCATAATCGAAATATTGCAAATTTTAATGGTTAATTAATCAGTCTTGCTGTATGATGTTATTTGTTTCTTATTTTATGAGAATATGGAATATTACACTTTGATTACTTGTTTTCTCCTTTTCTATGGTGTAAAGAACTTGATAGGATTGCATGTTTACTTACTCATGCGATGTATTGGAATGTATGACAGCGTTTCTTTGAAGTGGATCGAAGGATTAAAATTTCAATAATTCTTTATAATGAAGAATCATGAGCGTCTGGCTAATCTTGCCTTAGCAGGTATGACACACCCAAACATTCTCATAGATACTATTGGTGTTTCCATTTGATTTAATGAATATAAAAATCGGTTATCGTTTGTTTGTTTTTTCTTTTTCCTGCATATTAAGGCTATGAATTTCGTTTGTTAAATAAATTCAAATCACTGTTTCTCCCACCCAGTGTATTTCACAACAATATAGTTTTATTTCTCTTTCTACTTGGTGCTTTTCTTTTTGCTTAATATACATTTCTTATGGCTACTAATGAATTAAATGCCACAATGTGTATTATCATACTGAAAAATCAGTTCAGGGATGTTTGATTTTTCTTATGACATACGCTTAAGTGTATCCTAATCTTTGAAGTTAGTACCTGTTGAAACAAAACATAAAACATGCTGTACACTTCAATATTGTAGTATTTTATATATAATTTTTTAAATTAGTATTGCCTGTGGATATGGCTATATAATGTATAGAATTTTTTGTGCGCGCATTCATTCTCAATTTGAATTAAAAATAATTAATACAACTGGAGGAGTGTAAAATACCATTGATGTGGGATGTTACTTATATTTTCTTTGTGGTCTCTGTCTTAGTCATGTGTTGTTTATCATGGTTGCAGGTTTGACTTTTGCCCCATTGATTGTGAAGGTAGACCCGAACTTGAACGTTGTTTTGACAGCATGCCTAGCTGTATATGTAGGTTGCTACCGTTCTGTCAAGCCTACTCCACCTTCAGTAAGTGGAACATCTCAATGTGTTTCCAGCAGATTCATTGTTATTCTTTATGAATTTTATCTTGACCCTTACATTGCTTATTTGAATCTTTCAGGAGACCATGTCCAATGAGCATGCCATGCGGTTCCCCTTGGTTGGGAGTGCAGTACTGTTGTCATTGTTCTTACTCTTTAAATTTCTGTCAAAAGACTTGGTCAATGCAGTATTAACATGCTACTTTATCTTACTTGGGATTGTCGCTCTCTCGTAAGTACTTCCCATTCCGGTTATTCTATTATGCTAAATTTACTTTAAATAACTTTTCATTACTCTATCGGAGAAATTAGATGCTTTTGAATCAATATTACTCCTTTCATTTATTTTTTTTAGGGCAACATTGTTACCCGCAATTAAACGTTTCTTGCCAAAACCTTGGAATGATAATGTTATACACTGGCAGTTTCCATATTTTCGATGTAAGTGCCCACTAGTTCTACTTATCTGTTTCTTTTCAATTCAAGCATTGCGATCACATATTTCTCTTTGACATATTCATTTACTTAATCGATTTACCATCAAACATTCAATGAATAGGATGAGTAAAAACTGAGGCTCATTCTCTTGTCAAGTGAAAATTCTTGTAAAATATTTTCTTTGCAGGCAAGAAAGTACAATGATTTTCTTCTTTGATGATTATTGTTATCCATGCCTTTACAAGAAATTGTATTGGGCTTATTTGTAATGATTACATCTCTGAAAGATAACATATGATTTTGTTAAGAAAGTCATTTCTTATATGGACGCTTCAGTGTAGTTTGTATCTTTATTTGCTATAAATTTTAGTGTACAAGATACCATTAATTATTCTGTTAGTCACAGGTTTATTCACCCTCTGAATCCCCCTCCCTCTCCCTTATTTTCTGACGTCCATCCTTCTTTAATTGGATCCATTTGTGCAGAATGATATTTTTATTTACACGTTTGTTGCACAGCTGTGGAGGTTGAGTTCACAAGATCGCAGATTGTTGCAGCAATTCCTGGAACCTTCTTTTGTGCATGGTATGCTTCAAAGAAGCATTGGTTGGCTAACAATATTTTGGGCCTTGCTTTCTGCATTCAGGTTTGATGTTGATAGCAATCATAACACTTACCTTTGTTCCTCCAGTATGATTGTCATACAAACACAAAACTTTTGCCATGTAATGCTCTCATGGTGTAAATGCTGCTTACAGCAATAGGTGCTATCTTTAAATCCTATTCGTACATGTTAAATTTCAAAATGCTTGCCTAAAATATATTAATGATTTTGATATTCAATACGGTAAATTTTGTTGTTTGCCTGTAGAATTTAGGGCAGGTTTGGCATTGCTCAACTTTTTTTTTCTTTAAACTCATCAAACATTC